ATGCGAGAGGAATGATCCCCTCTAGGCAGAGGGACATCCTCCCTCTGGCTGCAGCCTTTTGGAGCGATTTTTGGTAGAATTTGTTGATGAAATTTTTAGGGAATGTTCCTCGTCTAAAAAATTTATTTGAGCTAAAAAATTATCTTCATCTAAAAAGTCTAGTTTATCCATAAAACATTTCAGCTAAAAATTCGACCGGGAAGACAGTCAAAAAATTCTCTGAAGATAACAGCATCAAAGTAAACATTTAAAACGCTGTTATTTTCAAAAATTTATTTGATTGTCTTCCCGATCGAATTTTTAGCTGAAATGTTTTGTAGATAAACTAGACTTGATGAGGAACATTCCCTAAAAATTTCATAAAAAAACTCCACCGGGAATGGCTCCAAATGGCGGCGGCCGGACGGAGGATCATGTCCCTCCTGCTGGACAGAATCTTTTCCGTATTATGTTATTCACTTATCTGGCATCCATTATCTACTACCCCAACAAATCTAAAGCATATTTTCACCCCCTCCACACCTATAAATAGAGCTCTCAGTTGAGAGGAAGAGAGAGAACTTCCAGTCGAACAAACGCTGCAGAAAAGCTCTGAAGAACTCCCAAGAGGCTCTGAACGATTCCTAATAAAGGGGAAGAGATCAAGCCACAAATTTTATTAAGAATATACGAATAATCCTTCGTGATTTCATTCATTCTTGATAACATATATCCAAAAGTTGAAGAACGTTTGAAGATCTGAAGAGCAAAGCTTGAAGATTCAAAGATCTGAAGAACAATGCTTTGAAGATTCGAAGATATGAAGAACGAATCTTTGAAGATTCGAAGATATTCGATCATATGTAGGTTGAATCAAGATTCAATTGAAGATCAAGCCATATATCCCGGGAGGCGCCCTTAAACAAAAGATCAAGCCATAAAACGGCCCTTTTGTTGAAGATCAAGCCACTTGAAAACCAGAGGCCCTTCAATCTGAATTCTTTATTAAAAAAAATTTGAAGATCTGAGGAACAAAGATTCGAAGATTTGAAGATTTCAAGAACGAAGATTCGAAGATCTGAAGAACATTCGAATGTTTGAAGGATTAAAGATTTAATTTTTAATTAAATTCTTTAATTATATTTATTTGGGATTGCAAGTGAAGAATCAGAGGATTCCTATTTAGAGATTGTACCCAATATTCTCATATATTATTATTTGCGATCGATTTTAAGTAAATACTTAAAATTTGTTTCACAACATTTTAAATTGTTTAGAGCATAAGCAGAAGTTGAAGTGGTTTGGGTGAAAGTGTACAAGTACTTCTGGTGTTCAAGTTTACTACTGTAATCAATTTTTTTGAAAGCTAAGGGAGACTAGCTTTTGAAAACTTATTAAAAGAGAAATAGAAGCAGAATTAGTTTGAAATACCCTTATATCCACCCTATTTCTACAAAGAATAAATGTATGTACAAATTTTACACAATGACAAAAAAACTAATTTTACACATAATTTTCATATACAATTGATTTTTTTTGAAATGAAAACGGATTATATCATATCAAGCAAACTTCTCAACGTACTTCCCCCCTTACAATGCCAAACCTCCTCAATCAAAACTCTAAGAGTACTACCCCCTGTAACGCCAAACCTCCTCGTGAGGCTCCGCATAGCCCAAAGGCCCCCCACTCTCTGGCTAGACTTAGAATAGACCACCCGAAGGAGGGAGACTATTTGCGAACCATGTGAGAGTTTCAAAGCTTTTAACGGCCAAACAAGCCTTATCGCTTCCACCAAGATCACCATCCCAAACCAAGCAAGACAAAACAAACACCAACCTACCACTAGAGTTCAAAGCATTGATTGACCTAAGCATACTAAAATAGAAATAATAAAGCAGACTGGACTGAAAATAATAAAAAATATCTAAAAAAAATTCTTGCAAACCCTATCTGCACGGTTTCTCCATGGCGGCGGCTCAGGGGGAGGACGGATCATCAACTCTTCGTCTTGTTTCTCCCTTTCCTGAATCTGGATGTCTCCGTTCCAGATCTGTCAAAGCCGCATCAGTCGCCTTCCCAGCCATTTGGAGACCAAATCAGCCCCTTTCTCCAAGCCCGAACCCCTCATTGTACCTCCCGGATAAAAAACCACCGGTGTAGTTTCCATCACAATGATCAACAAGGCTAAGATAACCCAGTGTTGAAGCATTTGTCCCACACCGGAAAGTTATAAAACAATTAAACACTATATAAGGCTTTGAGCTACTCCTCCTATCAGGTTGACCTTTTAGGATGGAACCACATGTCTTAACATGGTATCAGAGCCAATTCCGGTTGTGGTTTGATACTTTGATGGCTTGTTTAGCACCCATGATTAAGGGTAGCTTGTTAAGGGTTTGTTTGGCCCGTTTATACACCTCAATATTGTCCAGCCCGGTTCGGGCTGAGGGGGCGTGTTGAAGCATTTGTCCCACACCGGAAAGCTATAAAACAATTAAACACTATATAAGGCTTTGAGTTACTCCTCCTATCAGGTTGACCTTTTAGGATGAAACCCCAAGTCTTAACACCCATCCCAGCATCGGATTATTACGCCTTGTTGCCTTATTGGTCGTATATTCACAACCTCCTCCAGAATCAATGATTTCCGCAGACCGCCGACCATCGATATCACCCTGCTCCATGTCGTTTGCCCAAAAAACGAAAACGAACTCGCCCAGCGAAGTTGCTGTCAAACGAGCCTCCTGCCGGAGTCCTGTTGCTTCCTCGCTAGAAAAACTCTGCCGAAAGTGGCTTCGGCCGTGGAAAACTGCGGGCACAAACAGTTGCCCGGCCAACCTAAACCCTAGCCAGCGGCTAGGTCCTCTCCGCAAATAAAAAATTTGTAGTTCATATTTCTTTTTTATATACAATTGATAAAAACCATAATTATGATGCCATAATAACTTCCAATTTTGAGTAATAATTATTGTTGGTCCAAAAATGGAGGTTGATAGAATTTTAGGAAAGCTATGACTAAACACTCAAATAGGAATCAAAGTGGCAAAGTATAAGATGGAGAAGTGATTAGAAGTAGAAGCCTAGATATAACTATATAAGAAATAGTGTTCATGTCGTTACCTTTAAATGTTCTGTTACTAAACGAGAAGATTAACCTCATCCATGGGCGGAACTAGGGTTGGACCAACCTAGACCCTGACCCACTCCAAAATTTTAAAATACCTTAATTTTCAGTGTAAAAAATTCTAATCTAATTTTTCTTTCAAAAAAATTATTTGTACCGGCTCAGTGCTCTGGCTCCGCCCTTGGTGCCCTCATCGATACATCGGCCGGGCTGGCGGTTTGTCTTCCATGAGCTCCTTCTTTGCTAGGCTTGTAGGTTGTCATCGTTGGACTAGCTCGTAGCTTGTACATCATGGATGGACGTGGTTTGAGACACTTTTGCAAATAATAATAGCACGAGACGATACAGGATAAATTATTTTCCAAATCTTGTCTCATTTAAATGGGGTCATACACTATTTGAGTATGTTCGAGATGTCTCATAGTAAAAAAAGTTAAAAAACCAATAAAAGTTAAGATTGATACGGGGATCGCAACAGAGCGGTCTCTTTTACCCACGCTATGTATCTATTGACTTATTTGGTGGCAAACTTTTGTGCAAACTTTTGTGTCACTGAAGTGACTGAACTTAGTCAACATGTTGGAACATCTCCAATGGTTAATTTGGAGGACTTCTTTGTAATTATTTAATCCAACTTACTATTGGAGAAATGGAGCATAACCTTTCATTTTACTTGAGAAAGCTAATTAACCAAAATGAGTTATTTGTTATTTGTGTGCACTAAATTTTTTTGCATGCAAATGAAATAAAAATTAATTAATTAAGGACAAATGTGAAATTACTTGAAAACGAGCCCAACGTAAATGTTGTTTTCTTAAGACGTTTTACCCGACACACGTAACAAACTTCTTGCAGAATAGAGCGGTTCTTAATTCCCAACAGGACTCTGGTGAACTAAAAGATGCGACGAAGTAAGAGTACATAAATATGGAAGATTTGTTGTTAATTTCGAATGGTTCAAAACAGGAGTCCGGTTGGATATTTATAGTGCTCTGACCAGGATTCTCTAACCCAAAAGACATCTCTTAAAAAGAAAGGTCATGACCTTTCTTTCAAGGAGAAATATTATATTGTATCTTTTCTGTTTAATGATTTATCCGAAAAAGTAGCAAAAATAATCTCTAGCTTTTAGACATGTAAACTATTAAACACCTGAAGTTGTCCGTCAAAGACCACGACCCGACATGGCTGGCCGAACGGCACCAACGTGCGTGCAAGAGTAGTTAATTCCACACTCACCGTATACGGGTCTCACTGCACAACAAAATTTCGGTGACCCGAGAGCCCAACCCAATAGCTAAGAAAAACTTATAAAAATGCACTTCCTTAAGTCTCCATTTTCGGTGTGGGACAAAGTCTTTTTCTGTAACTGTTTTTTGGCAAGTTCGGAGAACAATATCTTATTCATTTTTAAATGGGTTTGAACACTTCTACATATGGTTGTGTTCACCTTTCCGAGTACTATACATTAGGACTTGGTCCTACCGCAAACGAGTTGTGAGTCCATTAAATTTTAAGCTCAAAGGTGGTAATTATATATATATTAAAAGGTGGTAATTATAATAAAGAAAAACCATTTTTCCAACACTATTAGCTTAAAGCAAGAAAATGATAAAATACAGTATCATTAATAATTAATGAAGAATTTTTTTTTATCGCTAACCGATGGAATACATTTTACTTGTAAAAGAATTTTGAAGTAAGAATGAGAGCACAAAGCCACAAATTGACCGTAGTAGTACTTTATTCCATGAAACGTTTGTATAAAATTGGGCATAAAAAAAAGAATCTTAGCTAATTGTTCACATAAAGCAAAAGATAAGAATACCTTTCTGCTTTAGAAAAGAAAGCCCTCGACTTGCCTGCAAGTTAAGACATCTAGCTCCCTATATATCCATTGTCGGCTCATCCCATGCCATACAAATAAGTGTTTAATTTATTCATATATCTTCCTAATTAGCATTAATATTTCGATCTCCTTCTTTAATAATTATATATATACTAGTATAATAGTTTGATGATCTGGTGTTGATTGTTCTTCAAATCGGTCGTACAAACTGTTGACCAAAGCTTCCCAACCGCCGAACTAATTAATTAATTCGTTAAGCAAATGAGGTAATAATGAATTATACTACGTAATAAATATATGGGCATATATAATCTTTCTATCTTTTAATTTCTGCTAAATAAACATTCAATTTATATTGATCTTTTGATTTAAAATTCATGGCAATTATTAAGGTCTCGTCGAACAGCCCCAGACCCTACAATGCCTCCAGTGTTTGTAGATCCCAGGGCAGATGAATGGGAGCAACGTGAGTTGGACAAGATCAGAAAGTGGTATTATACATATATTATTCCCTATTGATTGTATACACTTGAAACTTACAAATTAAAATTAAGATATAAAGCTTGCGACAATTAATATATTGAATAGATATCAAATACAAACTCTCCTTAATATACAAATTACAAATTCAACTTGACCTTCTCACGAGTTGATCTGACTATAAAGGCAATGTGACACTTTTGCAATAAAAGCCAACCTTTTTAGAATGCAACTCTTTGAACATTAATATGCAATTGCTATTTTATGGCTAGATAATACGGGGTATGCAACATTGTGAACCTCAATATGCAATACAAATTATGTAAAAATGCATTGTACAAACGTTTGCACGATAAACACACTTTGTACATGATCCAAACCCCTTTTCTTATTAGGTCAGTGAAAACAGTTTGTCACTTTATTGATAGAGTAATAGTAATACATTATTAAATTTGTTATTGTTTCTTTCTTTGATAAAACTTTAGACATATGGACATTTTTAGTTACTTATTCAAAGAGTCAAACTCGATCAATTTTAATTTGTGGGATAAATGGAATAAAAGTTCTCTTGGGACATAACATAAGGTACCCCTTATTGTAAACTTTTTCTTATTTGGTGGCCCAAAAAAATTTATTTTTCTCTTTATAAAAAGAAATTTATGGTTTATATTCATCCCGAAAAACTTCAATTGCACACTTGTTTGTTCTTGTTCGATGTGAATGTCAAGTTTGATAATTAGAAGAGTTAATATAAGAGTGTATTTTTAATACGGAGTAGAAAGTCATTCCATTCTTCCAAAAAATAAAAAGTAATTCCATTGCAACCATAATCCTTTTATTAATTAAGAGGTTTAACCTACCTTGATAATGTATCAAAATCTCCCTCCACTGATTGTGTTTCACTGATTATGTTTCAGGTATGGTGAGCAGGAAGAAACAATTGCAAAATGGGAAAATGAGAATAAAAACAAAGCAGAACTTAAGCTCAAAAAAATTAAGGTTGGGCTTTTACTATTCATTTGTTTTAATTTCCAACTTTCACATTTACCCACTTCTTAATCAAAATTCAATACTAGTATAATACTACACCTACATAGAGAATTGTTAAGTTTGATGCTACATAAGAGTTCTTACAAGATGAAAAATGTATACGAATAATTATTCAAAGTAATACGTAGTATAACATTATAATAAATATTCATTTCTTAATTCGATCAATATATCCTCATCATCACTAGGCTGAATTGGAAGAGAAGATTGCAAGAGCTGTTGAGAATTTCGAAGAAAAAGTTAAATGGATAGAAAACACATCAAGAAAAGCAATGACACAAGTGGAAAAAGAGAAGAAAAAGGAAGAGCAGAAGGTGAAGGAAGAGGCCAATCAGTTAAGATTTACTGGCATCCTCCCAGAACAAACAACTTGTTCCCTCATGTAGCTATTGAAACTCTCTCACACGTTTTTATCCAAACATATGCTCATCAAAGGAGTTTTAAATTTTAATAGTAGCTAAATAACTTTTTAATGAAATTCAATAGCAATAACAATAACAATAACAATTATAATCATAATCTAATCTAACAACATGATAATAGTGAATAATGGTCAACATCCCTGTAATATGTCAATGTATATTATGCATATACTCTTTTAGTAAAACTTTGTACTATATACATTCAATTTAACTTAAGTGCCTCATTAAAGTTAGAACTTTAGCTTCGGTTAATGTGGCCTTAAATGTAAATTTGAAAAGTGAGTTGTATATTAAAAATAACCCCCAAGTATTTTGCTTCCATAACCTTTCATCTTATATAATTTCTTAGTTCCTATCAAGCAACTTCCCGACTAAAAAAAAGTCACATGAATAAAATTTAATTCACTAAATTCTAGAGGTAAATCTTACAAAAGTGAAGTATAGTCATTGTAATGTGTTAACCAGCCCAGTCTGATGACACTGAATGCTCCATCACAAATACTAATGATTATTGGTTTGATCAATCTCAGTTTGATCATCTATCAATGAGAACAAAAAGAGTTGTGTGTTTTATTATTGTCTCATTTCTTAAGAACTGTCTCATGGTATTCTTCATGATAATTATATTAATCAATGGTCATTAATAAGCTCATTTAATTTGTAATAGATATTTTTAACACCGTTTGTAAAATATACTTCAGTGACATAATACTCAAAGCCTCTAATTATAGCAGTTGTCATACCTGGTAAAATGATGTACACAGAACAAATGTACTATTATAAACTTCTTCAAATTAAACATGATGCTTATTTTAGCATCTTATATATAAAACTATTACTACACAAATCAATAAGAACCCAATCAATGAAATGATATAAATTCATTTGCTAATAGCATGATAATGGTACACATATTTTTCAAGATTATTTTTGGTGATTCCAACGTTGGGTTTGTATAGAAGATTCAACTATAAGTATTTTACTAATGACAATGAGATTTTTCATGATATTTCTCTCTACATCCAAAAAATGAGCCCTGCCCTCAAATTTATTCTGTCTTATAAAAGTTTGTATTTGAATTGAACAAAACTAACTTTTAGTGAACCTAGTGTAAATTATCACATCCTTTTAACTGTAATGTATAACCTTATAAACATTCATTGAGTCTACTTATTGGCTGCACGGGTTCCTAGTGGTGATTTAACTCTTTAAACAATTACACCTGTTACAATATTGCCGTTGTTCAATGTAAAGAAATTTATGGTTTATATTCATCCAGACAAACTTCAACAATGCAATTCTTTTTTGTTTCTTAGGCGTGTTGTTTATTGAAACACAAATCCTTCACAACAATGTTGTTTTAATTAAGAGGTTCTCTCAAATTAAGCTACATTGATATTGTTATTATAGTCTCCCTTCACTGATTGTTTTCAGGCATGGTGAGGAGGAAGAAATAATTGCAAAATGGGAAAATGAAAATAAGAACAAAGCCGAACTGAAGCTCAAAAAAGTTAAGGTTGTTTTACTATTAATTGTTTCCCAACTTTCACATTTACCCACTACTCGATCACAATTCAATTCTTCACCTACATAGAGAATTGTTAATTTTGATGCTACTTAACAGTTAATAAAAAAAGCAAAAAACTGCTTATGAAAAATCAGTTATTCAAAGTAATATCCTCATTATCATAAGGCTGAATTAGAAGAGAAGATTGCAAGAACTGTTGCGAATTTCGAAGAAAAATTTAAATGGATAGAGAACACATCAAGAAAAGCAATGTCACAAGTGGAAAAAGAGAAGAAACGAGAAGAGCAGAGGGTGAAGGAAGATGCCAACCAGTTAAGATTTACTGGTATCCTCCCAGAGCAAACGACTTGTTCCCTCATGTAGCTACTGAATCTATCTCATCACAAATTTATCTCAAGATTTGCTCTCTAAAGGAGTTCTATATTTTAATAGTAGCTTTAATAACTTTTTAATGACTTCTAATAGAAACAATAACAATTATAGTTATAATCTAACAACATTATTGTACATAATCCCTGTAGTATGTCAATAATTTTTAGGGAAAAATACATACATATGAGTAAACTCATACAAATTCCTGAAATATGACTTCGTAAGTTTCTTTACCATCTTATGACTAAACGTATGACTAAGGAGAAATTTTAGAGACCAAAGTATCCTAAAAAATATAGAGGCACGTAGACTAGGGAGAAAAAATTGTTGGAATAAATCCGATAATACTTTAATCTTCATATTGGAATTATCTAGAGAACCAACTGAGCGGAAGCGTACCTGACTCCATTGGAGATGATCTTTAGAGATCCGGGAGATATAGGCTAGGGTTTGCGTCTTCTAGTTGATACACACCCTCGGGAATTATCTCTCTAGCGATGGGATGCAGAAAGACGGAATGACGTGTTCAACTAGAGACCATAACCCCTCTATTTATAGAGAATGCTTAACTCTAATCAGCCCATCATTAATTAGGTTAAGCCCATGAGTTTCTACACAATTGGGCCCTATACCTTATTAGATAACTTATTAGCCCACTTAAATTAATATCCATAGGACCACTAATTTTTGGGCTAAATATAAGATATCATATAACATACAATTAACCCAATAAATAATATATTGTGAATATTATGTGTAGTATAAGTCCAATAATCTAACAATCTCCCACTTGGATGACATACACATATGTATACACAATCCTTAGTATTGTATATTTACTTTAGGAGCTCCAGAATTTTGCTATCAAACTGTAGTCATCTTTAATCAATCCGGTCCATTAATTATATCAACATAGGACCAAAGAAGTCTTTGCTATATTCACATAACTAGACCCATCAATGATCACATATATTAATATAATAAACGACATGGATCAAGTATAGGTGTGTAGGGTGGAAATAACATGAAGTGTGGTCTGGAATAGAATGTCTATTTCCAACTGGTCCACCTTGAGATCAATAATGTAACTGTAAGAGTACATAAAACTTTAAACTTTAAACTTTATACTTTATTTCTGCAGAAAATATCCTTGAAAAACTGAATTAACCAAAATTATAGAAACATTACAAACTCCCACTAAAACTTATAATCCTCAACTGATTTGACACCCATTTGAGCAACATGCTCATGAAACACTTTGGGTGGCAATCCTTTAGTGAGCGGATCCGCAATCATGGAGTTTGTGCTAATGTGTTCTATAGATAACTTTCCTTCTTGCACTCGTTCCTTAACAGCCTTAAGTTTGACCCCAATGTGTTTTGCCTTGGTCAAACTACTGTTGTTCTTAGCATAGAGGACTGCTGACCTATTGTCACACAATAGCTTAAGTGGTCTTTCAATGCTATCCACTATGCGCAGTCCACTAACAAAATCTCGCAGCCATAATGCCTGATTGGATGCCTCATAACATGCTATAAACTCTGCTTCCATGGTGGAAGTAGCTGTAAGAGTCTGCTTAGCTTGATACTCCTCCAGGAGATAGCTCCTCCAGCTAAAATATAGATGTAGCCTGAAGTGGATTTCAAGGAATCCTGACATCCAGCAAAATCAGAGTCGGTATACCCAATGATCTCAAGCTGATCCAATCTCCGATATGTGAGCATATATTCCTTTGTTCTCTGTAAATACTGCATGACCCTTTTGGCTGCTTTCCAATGGTCCATTTCCGGATTGCTCAAATATCTGCCTAGCATCCCAACAATGTATGCTAAATCAGGTCTTGTACAAACCTGCGCATACATCAAACTTCCTATAGCCGAAGCATAAGGAATGTTCCTCATTTCTTTAGATTCAAAACCATTCTTAGGGCACTGCATGAGACTAAACTTGTCTCCCTTAGAAACTGGAGTATCTCCTGGTTTGCAGTCTTGCATGCCAAACCTTTTGAGAACCTTATCGATATAGCTCTTTTGTGAGAGTCCAAGAACACCTTTGGAGCGATCTCGGTGTATTTGAATTCCTAATACAAAAGAAGCCTCACCAAGATCTTTCATTTCAAAATTCTTTGAAACAAATTTCTTAGTTTCAAGCAATAAGCCTATATCGTTGCTAGCAAGCAATATGTCATCAACATACAAAACCGGGAAAATATGTTTACTCCCACTGAACTTGTGGTATATACAGTCATCACTGACATTTGTTTGAAAATCAAAAGATATGATTACTTTATGAAACTTGTGATACCACTGACGAGAAGCCTGCTTGAGCCCATAGATGGATTTCTTTAATTTGCAAACCATTTTCTTTGGATCTCCCAAAACAAAGTTTTCTGGCTCCTCCATATAGATTGATTCCTCAATGTCACCATTGAGAAATGCAGTTTTCACATCCATCTGATGAAGCTCAAGATCAAAATGTGCCACTAATGCCATTATTGTTCTAAAAGAGTCTTTCGAAGATACTGGAGAGAAAGTCTCTTTATAGTCAATTCCTTTTTTTTTAGTGTAGTCTTTAGCAACAAGACGACCCTTAAACCTTATAACATTGCCCTTTGAATCCCTCTTGATTTTAAATATCCATTTACAACCAATGGGTTTGATACCTTCGGGCAATGAGACTAGCTCCCAAACGTCATTGTCACTCATAGACTTCATCTCATCTTTCATGGCATTAATCCATTCTTGAGAGTTAGAACTTTCCATGGCTTGATGGAAGTTGATTAGATCATCTTCCGCAAAACCAACATCTGATTCTTGTTCTTGGAGGAAGACAATTATTTCTTCCACCAATTCCCAATTTTCCTCATGTTCTTGGAGAAAATACAATATAATCATCCGGAATTGCACTTCTCCTCTCTCGAGTGGATCTCCTTAATGGCACCTCAGGTTCTTGAGGTTGTTGAGTTTGATCCTCATTAATAATTTCAGGTACCTGATTGGGGATGTTTTCGAGATTGTCCTGAACTGGTGTTGTTTCTTGAACATCATTAGGAATAAAAATATCTTGATCATGTTCAATGACAACTAAAGGAAGAGTAACATGCTCTTCCTCAAGGACAAAATCTCTAACCTTATCTCCCCACCCCCAAACTCAATATCCTCAAAGAACCGGGCATTTCCCGTCTCAAAAATAGTCCTGGTAGTGGGATCATAAAATTTATACCCCTTGACCTCTCAGAGTATCCAACAAAATAGCTACTAACTGTTCTAGAGTCTAGTTTCTTTTCATTTGGCCTATAAGGCCTTGCCTCAGCTGGACAACCCCAAACATGGAAATGATTTATACTGGGTTTCTTTCCAGTCCAAATTTCATAAGGGGTTTTAGTTGTAGCTTTAGTGGGAACCCTGTTGAGTATGTAAGCTGCAGTTTTCAGTGCCTCTCCCCAGAGTGAATCTGGTAAAGTAGTATGACAAATCATACTCCTAACCATGTCCTTCAATGTACGGTTTCGTCTCTCAGCAACACCATTCATGCTAGGAGTTCCAGGCATAGTGTACTGAGGAACAATCTCACACTCCTCTAGGAATTTAGCAAATGGACCTGGACATTTTTACCGGAACCATCATATCTACCATAGTATTCACCACCACGGTCAGATCTAACGTTTTAATTCTTTTTCCTAATTGATTTTCAACTTCGGCCTTATAAGATTTGAACACATCTATTGATTGGGACTTTTCATGAATGAGATAAAGGTAACCATAACGAGAGTAATCATCTATGAATGTGATAAAATATGTTTGACCATTTCTACATGGTGTAGGGAATTGTAACACCGTCCCCAAATGTATTTACTTTTAAGCGAATAATGTATTGAACCTTGTGGAATGGTTAATGAGTATGCGAAGTTGTGATTTTTATTAACTCTTTTGTGTGAATAGTAAATTCGCACGTGGGGCCCACACCGGGGGCGGGGGCCGCCCGAAATTCCCGAAACCATATATTTTATTTATCTTGGTCAAGATAATATTTATATAGTGGCAGGTACTTCATCTGAACCATGGAAAGGTCCAAAGTTGACCGATTGGTCAAAGGAAGCCCAAATATCGGTATTGGTAATTTAACCGATAAAAGCCCGAAATTGAATTTCAGGGACTTGTAAATTAAAGTTGGGGAAGGTATATTCATTATAAGGGTCATAATGATTGAGAACGCATCATATATTTTATTTGACCCGATAAAATAAAATATATTTAAAACAATCCGAAAAATACAACTTTCGGGACCGATTGTACACTTCTGGACAAAAAGGGTTGACCTCCCACATGAGTGGGGGCCAACCCACGAATTTGGTCACCCAAATGTGATGTTTGGACGGCTGGAATGACATAGGAACATGGGAGAGGTGTGTGATGTGAGTAGAAAGGAATCAAACAAAAGAAAAATAAGGTGGACCTCTCTCCCCACACCACCCATTCCATTGAGACAAAGGAAATACCCACTCCCTTCCTCCCTCATCCCTGCGGCCAGAACCCAAGCAAGAGCAAATAAGATTCTCCATCCTTCATTCTCCATTTTTGAAGAGAGCTCTACAAGGAAGGACCTCAAGAGAAGGAATTAAGGTGCTAAAAGTGTGAAATTAAGGTAATAACCTTATCATAACTTTTTCTCTATTTTTTCCTTCCATCATATGAAATATATATCATATGGAGAATCCTTGAGATTGTTCTACATTCTAAGAGTGTGGAATAATGGGTTGGAGAGTGGTTCTAAGTCCAAGAACGGACTTAGAAACCAAACCGACAAGTTCACCGGAAAATAACCTTTTAGAGGTTATTTGTATTGACTAAGTTTTATGATGTTAAAACCTTGTTAGGAACTTGATTTAAAGTATTTTTGAGTTTCGCCGGAGTTTCACCGGAGTTGGTCAAAGTTCGCCGGAATTAGTCAAAGTTCAATCGGGGAGCGTAGAACGCGTGTAAGCTCACTTAAGGTGAGGATGACCGACTATGTTACTTATAATCTTTGGGTTAATTTCATGAGATTTCCTAAATGAATACAAGATGTGATTTGCATGGATTATTAGTGATTAATAATGTCTAAATGAAATTACTATTGATTATAAGTATAGTTTGCATGAAATACAAATTTATGAATAAATTGTGTATGATTATGTGTTATGAATATGATGGCATGATAGTTG